AATGGGGTTTGGACCAGAGAACAATGACAGCATGTTTGGGGAGCAAAGAAAAAGCTTAAAAATCTGCATACTGGAAAAGCGGGATGATCTCTTCATCATCTTGGCCAAACCCTGAAAGCTGGAGGCACCATGGAACTGGTGAAACATTATTTTTAGAAAGTGAATTCTACATTCCTGTTCAGAATGAAAAGATAAATCGTGCCTAACTGTATCTGTATTTGTGGTCATCCTCAGATCTGTATCACCTCATGACTCTCCTCTTCATCTCAGCTCTTCATAAAAGACTGTTACCACTTTGGAAATGGAAGTCTGTTCATGGATTCATCCTCCCCACATACCTTTTCCACCCAATCTGTAACTCTCCATTTATTCACTTACTAGGTTTCAGCAGCTGCTTGATCTTGGTGCCTCACTATGAGGGGGGATTGTGGTCTGTGTGTATGCACATTTACACACACACACTCATCCAGATGTTGGCCCAAACAGATTTTGTTTTCCTCCCAATCCTATCTTGAAACCTTACTGAAGCATTTGCAGCAATCACAAAAAACCCAGCTCACTTGAGAACAGGGTCTACAAGTCACACTGAAACCCTGCAGTGTTGCATAAGGTTTTATTCCTTTCTTTTTAGAAACACCAGAACAGCATCAGCCATGAAATGTTGTTCTACAAACATTTTTCCCAATATTTTAATGAGACTCCCTAACTTTCTATGTTGTTGTGTCTCTTTCCTAAGCATAAAGGCACCTGTAACGGTATTTTGAGAAACTCCAGTTTTTCATAAGCCTTCACTTGCCTCCGAACTCCTGTAAGATCCTACTCCTGTGGATATGGCACTTCAGCAAACTGGGTCTCCTCTTTGGAGACCGTGTAATTCTGGATGTGCTGCACTACCTGAGGGTAATACATCACTCCTTGCCCTGAACTGACGTTCAGGTGCATTGTGTTAGGGAGAGCAGGAATTGTTTGCAATGGGGTGCATAGAGCAGCTGGAGAGTGCAGTTGCACAAGTCTCCTTTGCTTTATGCAGATCTCCTTATGCAAAGGACAGGGCCATAAACTAAAAAAAAGCCTGCTGGGCTGTTTTAGGAGGGTCACCTCTGAGCACTGGAGGTGAGGAGCAGGAGTGTGGATTAAAGAAGGGGAGCAGAGAACAGGGACTGGGCTCCTCTTGTTCTCCTCAGCAAACCTGTACCTGATTTTAACTATGGTGAAAACTCATCTCCTAACACCGCATACTGACTTACCATCCCAGCTCTCCTTATGCCTTCACCCCCATGGAAATCAGGGCACAGGAATTCCCCGAGTCTGGTCTCCAAGGGAAGCTTGAGGTCCTGCCTGTATCCTGCACCGAGCTAGAGAGGAAAGGGGAGCGTTATAAAGAGCTGTGGTGACCACCAAACCCAAGCTGATGGGTACATACTCAATTTTTATACTCAATTCTTTCAGTGTCTCCTGACACTGCTGCCTTTGGGTGCCTTCTGGATTACACAGTTGTATCCCCCACCCACCCACCCTCAGCAACAGTACAATCTACACAAAGCCCAACAACTAAAATGCAGTGCAGAACCTCCCGCCTGACTCAGAGACCAGACTCTTCCAACCTGAGTCTGATAGTCCTGGTGCAAGTTAGGGCTGGAAAGTGCCCGTGCTAGGTGCACTGCCTGGAGCCTGCCAGGCAGCAGATTTATTCTCCAGTTACAGGGTCTGCCTCCACTGCCATTGCCTGACGCTGCCCAGGTAGGATGCACTGCTCCCAGCATCACCTAACCTTCCCTGGGGACACCCAACCAGGCTTGGTGCAGCTCTTCTCATCCCCTTCAGGGGAGCGCACCACTGCTTTCAGCAGCCCTTTCACCACACAGTGCCAGCCCTCTTTGGTCAGGGGATTTTCAATGGCAAACCCTGGCTTTGCGGAAGAAGGAGACTTAGACAAAATTAGTCTCCATTAGGTCAAAGTGGCCAGAATTGGTCTGCCACATGATTTCTATCTAGCTGAGCTCTTTCTGCTGTTGCCTTAGAGGATGCAAAGCACAAATGTGGGACAGGACATCCATCCCCTGGGTTGCAGCCTCTGGCAGGATGGAGACAGCCAGGAGCTCCATCTCATGGTCACACAGACTGTGAAAGGAGACCCAGACCTCATTCACATCTGGAAGGATTCAGCGTCCTGAAAAGAGGGAGCTGGCAATATCAAGCTCAGGGACCTGTGTTTGGAAGGCTGCAGGGTCAAAGGATGAAGAAGAGTTCAAACTACTGCAAGGGTTATAAGCACTATAGGGGATTGGCAACAATATCTTCTCAATAAAACAAACTGAATTAGGAGGTTAATCAGCAAATGAGTAAGTCAGCTGTACACGTACATGTGTGTAGATTCATTTCTTGAGCCATGAGACAGACACACCAGGGATTCCTCTCATCAAACTTATAAATGCTTCCACCGTTAAAATCTGCTGGGTCAGAGAAGCAGGCGACATACCTGGCGGACGCAGGGCTGGCCAGCATCACTCCCACAGGGGCTGGGTGAGTTGGGTACACCTGCTGATTTATCTGGACAAATCTGCAGCAGCAAGCCAGGTAAGTCATCCATCGGTGCAAGGGTTTTAAACAGAAGCAGTACAAAAGGATTTGCTGCTGCAGTCTTTTCTTTACAAACTTAAAAAATATATCTATTTAAAAGGAAAAGAAAAAGAAAAAGAAAAAGAAAAAGAAAAAGAAAAAGAAAAAGAAAAAGAAAAAGAAAAAGAAAAAGAAAAAGAAAAAGAAAAAGAAAAAGAAAAAGAAAAAGAAAAAGAAAAAGAAAAAGAAAAAGAAAAAGAAAAAGAAAAAGAAAAAGAAAAAGAAAAAGAAAAAGAAAAAGAAAAAGAAAAAGAAAAAGAAAAAGAAAAAGAAAAAGAAAAAGAAAAAGAAAAAGAAAAAGAAAAAGAAAAAGAAAAAGAAAAAGAAAAAGAAAAAGAAAAAGAAAAAGAAAAAGAAAAAGAAAAAGAAAAAGAAAAAGAAAAAGAAAAAGAAAAAGAAAAAGAAAAAGAAAAAGAAAAAGAAAAAGAAAAAGAAAAAGAAAAAGAAAAAGAAAAAGAAAAAGAAAAAGAAAAAGAAAAAGAAAAAGAAAAAGAAAAAGAAAAAGAAAAAGAAAAAGAAAAAGAAAAAGAAAAAGAAAAAGAAAAAGAAAAAGAAAAAGAAAAAGAAAAAGAAAAAGAAAAAGAAAAAGAAAAAGAAAAAGAAAAAGAAAAGAAAAAGAAAGAAAAAAAAAAAAAAAAAAAAAAAAAAAAAGAGCCTGGAAAAGGCCCCACCACCCTCTCCAGTCCCATGCTTCTTGACCACATTCTCTACAAAAAAAATGCAGCCTGGATTTTGGAAAAAATCTTAGGCAACTTTTCAAGGCTCTTCTCAAGACTGTTCCCCAAGTGAGCCAGTCCACTCAGCTCTCCAGCTTAACTTCATCCTTATTTCTGAATTCCCTCTAGTTTGCCATTATTTTCCATAAAGTGCCTGCCACAGTGCACTTCAATCTGCAGATCTCCAGCTCAGTCCTTTGCCCCTGCTCTTCACGTTCATCCTACCTGAGGGTGTTCCACTGAACAAGCAATTCTGAGAGTATGATTTGCCCAGAAACTTTATTTTAATCTGCTAACATGTTTTATAAATGACAAGAAAGCAAGCAATCAGATTTGCCTGGGAAGATCTACCCTTGATAATATGATGCTTTCTGGACATGTCACAGTCTGCCTGCAAGGTCCTGCTGGAAAACAGCAATTAATTTGGCTGAAAGACGGGTTCCATCCCTGGGAAAGAGAAATCCCAATGCCTCTCTTTCCCAAGTGGGAGAGGTGAAGGTGACGTGGGCAACTGGACCTCAAAAGCATGGAAGTATTCAGATCACATGTAAAGTGGAGCTCTTTGAAAACTGGTTTGGGGAAACCTTTGTGCATCATCAGAGGCCCCCTTGTGAGACCTCATCTGTGTGACTCTAACCAGGCGCGCCCAAGAAAGATGCTTTAAAGGGAGGTGTAAAGAGGAAAACTGCTTGTGCAACTACGAGCAGAGCTCTGGTCTTGTGAAAGGGGACAGAAGAGCAGAGACTAGTTTGCTTAGCAAATGTCAGGCTGGGTTGTGTGGCTCTATAGACACGCTGGGGTAAAAATGCCAGGGAGGGAAAAGCGTAATCAAATTCAACTTCAGAGGTGATAGAAACTGGACAGGAATACACTGAGAAAGGAAAGTAGAGGTAATTTCCCAGCTGTTGGAGCAGGGTGGAGGGTTGGTGCTGTCTTCCAGCAGATGCATGAAAGCAAAATATCCTAGGATGATGACTATCAGTTTTTCTGGGTAAGATAAGCTGTCACACCTAAAGCAACAGGCACTTGGCTCTGTGATGCAGAAGGTCCTTTTCGGCTCCATCTTTCTAGATACAGAGCAAGACAAATGGGAGATGAAGATGGGAAATCAAATAGTCAGTCCTGAGGGAGGGGTTAAAAATTCTCCTGCAGGTCTGGAATAAAACTTCCATCATCTGAGGTTTACTTACTCCCATGTCTCATGGTGGCATGTGGAAGAAGGACAAGGATTGGGCTAACTCTTCTCTGCTTGTTTTGATATAGGAACTATGGGACGTCAAATGACACCAGCAAATGTCAGGCTCACAGGAAAGGGAAGGGGTTATTTCACAAAAGGTGCCATTAGTTTGTGAAACTCCTTGCTAAAAGACAGTGTGAGTGCTAAAATTTTGCACAGAAGAGGCTAGATGGGTTTCTGGGGTGGGGTTAATAAAAATGGAGAAACCACATCCAGCTCAGGAAGTCCCTGAGCTTCAAATCATTGGAAGCTGGGGGGGCACTCGGGAGAGGTATCATGGTATGTTTCCTTTCTCATATTCTTCCCTGAGGGTCTGCTTTTGATGCTGGACATAGGATCTGAGGCTGGATGGACCTTTGGTGTGACCCAGGGTATAGCTGTCCTTGTGCGCCTGGGCTCTCTTCACTCAGGCTCCTGCAGTGACCACCATGCCCCATTCGCATCCCACCAACACCTCGCTGTCGGAGCTGCATCTGACAGGCATCCCAGGGCTGCAGCACCTGCACCACTGGATCTCCATCCCCTTCTGCATCATGTACCTCGTCGCGCTGGCTGGGAACAGCACCTTCCTGTGCATGATAAAGGCTGATCCCAGCCTGCACCTGCCCATGTTCCTCTTCCTGTCCATGCTGGCTGTCATTGACCTGGTGATGTCCACCTCCATCACCCCCAAAATGCTGGGCATCTTCTGGTTTCACTCCACTGCCATCAGCCTGGATGCTTGTCTTACCCAGATGTACTTTGTTCATGCTTTCTCCGTGATGGAGTCAGGGGTGCTGGTGGCGATGGCCTTTGACCGCTACGTGGCCATTTGCAATCCACTGCGGTACTCGTCCATCCTGACCAGCCCCATTGTGGCTGCCCTTGGCTTGGCTACCTTGCTCAGGGCTGTGGTTTTCATGAGCCCCCTCACCTTCCAGATTCGCCGCCTGCCTCTCTGCAGCCTGGCAGTCATGGACCACTCATACTGCGAGCACATGGCCATGCTCAAACTGGCCTGCAGGGACGCTGCCTTCAGCAACACCTACAGCCTCTCCGTCTCCACTTACGTGGTCAGTTTTGACTCGCTGCTCATCGCCCTCTCGTACACACTCATCCTCCGAGCTGTGCTCAGCCTCTCCTCCCCACAAGCCTGCAAAAAAGCCTTCAGCACCTCCAGCTCACACCTCTGCATCATGGCCCTCTTCTACATCCCTGGGCTGCTCTCCATGTACATGGAGAGGTACCACCAGCAGCTCCCCCACCATGTCCGGGGGGGGGATCTGTTGGCTGATCTCTACCTCCTCATCCCACCAGCATTCAACCCCCTGATCTATGGCATCAGGATGAAGCAGATCCGTGATGGAGTACGCAGGGCGATCTCCCAGAGGAGACGCATGGCAGGAGGGATTGGGCCTGGCCTTGGGCACAGGGCTGGGACTTATGAAGACAAAGTCTCTTCCCTAGAATGGCCAAAACCTCTGCTGGACCTTGGTGTGGCTCTCAGTGTACATTCAGAGATGCAGGTGCCCCAGGAAATGTTGGCACCCACTGAATTCAGGTCAACACCAAGGGCTTCAGCTGGTTGTTCTCCTGCCTGTCCCTGGCACAAGGCAGTGACATTGGCACAGCACCTCTGGGTGGTCTAGCTCCCTCAGATCTCCCAACATCAATACGATTGCAGCCACCACCTAACCTTGTTCTGGCAAAATGACCTAGTGCAGCTGAACCACAGAAAATAGCTGTTTCCTTAACGCATCACTTTATGTGCAGCGGAGCCATGCCAAGAGATGGAAGGGACATGGGATCACAGGACCACGGGATAACTCAGGCTGCAAGGGACCTCAGGAAGTCTCTAGTCCAACCTCCTGCTCAAAGCAGGGTCACCTACAAGGTCAGACCAGGTTGCTGAGAACATCCCCTCCCTCCCGGTGAACGTCTGTCAGCCCTGGGGAGCAGGTACCCACACACAGTCACCACTGTCCTGAATGCACAAGCATAGCACACACTTTATCTCTCACCAAAGCAAATCACCTGAACACCTCTCTGACTTTCCCCTGCCGCTGTTCTCCACCGCTACAGCGGGGCTACACCAGAGCAACAATTCAGTAGCACCCAGTTGCCATCTCCTTGATGACTTCTTCATGCTCCAACAGGTAAAGTCGTCCCAGTGGAAGTGGCAGTCAGTCCCTCTGTGCAGAAGTGCCACGGAGGCCAGCACAGACAGCTGAGGTGCCCGCTGGTCTCTGGGTGTTGCTGCACTTCTGCCCTGCGCAGGGGCAGAGGACTGCATTGCTCCACCAGCCCTCCCCATGCACCATGAAACTGATTTTGGCTGGGATAGAGTTAATTTTCTTCATAGGAGTTTGTATGATGATGTTTTGGATTTGTGATGAAAGCAGTTGTATTGGGTCTGGCTGAGGTGGAGTTAATTTTCTCCGCAGCAGCCCTCATAGTGCTGTGCTTTGTATTGGAAGCTAGAAAGGTGTTGATAACACACCAGTATTTTGACTACTGCTGAGCGGTGCTCGCGCAACATCAAGGCTGTCTCTCCAACATTCTCCCCTCACCCAGTAGGCTGGGGGTGGGCAAGATCTTGGGAGGGCTTATTCTGGGAATGATTCCATGCATGTTACTTGATTTGTTTTTGATGGTATGGGTGTGTGGCTTTGTGGGGCTACAAGCACAGCACCTTAGTCTATGTTCAGCAGTGTCAAGGCTTGCACTCCTCCCACTTCCATCCTCCCAGAATTCAGCAGGCTGGGAGTGGGCAAGAGGTTAGGAATGGACATAGGCAAGACAGCTGACCCAAACTGACCAAAGGGATATTCCATACCATATGACGTCTGCTCAGCAACAAAAGCTAAGAGAAAGGAGGAGGAGGGGGGCATTTGTTATTACATTTGTCTTCCAGAGCAACCGCTATGCACACTGAAGCCTTACTTCCTGGGAAGTGGCTGGACATCACCTGCTGATGGGAAGTAGAGAATAAATCTTTTGTTTTCCTTTGCTTCCACACGCAGACTTTGCTTTTGCTTTATTAAATTGCCTTTATCTTGACCCACGAGTTGGGTTTTTTTTCCCATTTTCTCCCCCCCCCACCCCGTCCTGCTGAGGAGGGGAAGGGTAGGACCACAGACCACAGCAGTGTTGATAACGCAGCCTTTTTTTTTTAATTGAGCACCGCACCTGGCGTCCAGCCAAGCCCACCACAGTTTTTTTTTTTTAATTTACTGCTGAGCACCGCTTGCACAGCCTCAAGACCTTTTCTGCTCCTCACGTTGCCCCAGCAGCGAGTAACCTTGGGGTGCAGAAGGAGTTGGGAGGGGACACAGCTGGGACAGCTGACCCCAATGGACCAAGGGGTGTTCCAGACCATATGACATCACGCTCAGCAATAAAAACTGGGGGGGGGAGGTTTGCCAGGGCTGCCATTGCTCAGGGACCGGCTGGGCATTAGTCAGCTGGTGGTGAGCAATTGGGGTTTTTTGCATCACTTATTTTTCTGGGGTTTGTTTTATTTTGTTGTTGTTGAGTCTGTTTGCATCACTTGTTTTTCTGGGTTTTGTTTTATTTTTTGTTGTTGATTGTTTTTTTTTCTTTTCTTTTTTATTATTAAACTGTCTTTACCTCAACCCATCAGTTTTCGCACTTTTACTCTTCTGATTCTCTCCCCCATCCCACTGTGGGGAGGAGTGAGTGAGCGGCTGTGTGGTGCTCAGCTGCCTACTGGGGTTAAACCACGACAACCATGGATGCCATCCTCCTGAAGGGATCTGCAGCAGGAACCTGTCTGCCAGGTGCCGAGGCTGTTGGGTTGTGTGATTAAAGGTTCACCTCCATAAACCCGAAGGAGCAGAGGAACATGGTAGGCGGGGGAACCCCAATATCCCCCTCAGAGCCAACAGAGCCCCCATCTTGTCTGCTCCCCAGGCTGTCCCAGAAGGATGGTCAGCCCGTGGCCAGGTGTGAGACCTCCAAGTTGGTCAACAGCAGTGGGTCTCCCTCTTTGCAAACTGACGTGGGGTACAGCCTACAGAGTGGGGGGACAATCAAGATGGGATGCCAGGAAGAGCACTTTGGGACTGTGTGGCACTCAGACACAGGATGTTTAGAGGAGGAACCAAAAGCTGGGAATGGGAGAGATAAGGGGGGTTGGGGGCAAACAAGTGTGGGAAAACAGAGGCATAAGGGTATGAAAGGGTCCAGTCACATGTAAACATGGTCTTGGTCAACATGCTTGTCTGTCCATGCCTGGTGCCTGATCAGCGCAGTCTGTCCTGTTTTCTCATTAAACTCCATTTCTAACAACATCCCTGGGTGAGGGTCCCCTAATCTGTGTGCATGTGTGAGCACAGAGAGCTGAGCACCAGCTGTTGGCGTGGGGACCGCGGACCATAGGGACCCATGAGCCCGGGGTGCCAGCACCTGGAGACACTGGGGTGCACACATGTGGGGTGGGTACATACATCAGTGTGCAATCGCCAGCAAACATCAAGCAGGACCAGCAGCGCGTAGGCTGAGATTTGGGAGCCAGTTATCAGCGAGGCTGTAAGTCTGGGCTGGATGCTGGAGAGACCGGAGGGTTTGATTGCTACTGGGGGGACCAGGGGGGTCCAAGCTACACTACTGCAGAGACCATGGGGTCGGCTACTGGTGATGTCATAGGACTCAGCCAGCTACTGGAGAGAGCCAGCCGCACATGTGTGTCTGTATGTGCATGAGGCAACTGGGGAGACCAGAGACCCAGGACCAGCTACTGGGTAGACTGAGCGTCTAAGTTCAGCTACTAGAGGGATCCATACTGTATATATGTATACACAATTTCCTCTAAAAACGTTCATTCTAATCACCCAGAGAGGAGAACAGGATCAGGCCATTGATGCTGTTTGTGGTTTTGTGTGTGTTTTCAGCCTGTGTTGATCTCTGTGGCTGACTGGTCTCCGCTGCAAACAACCCTGGGGCTGGATCCGTGTTTGCACCCTGTGGTCCAGACCAGCAGCCAGGAAACTACTGGC